GAGAGAGAGAGAGTCCCGGCCGCGCGCGCGCACTCCCACGTCTACAAACAACACGAGCGCTGTCTTGCTCTCTCTCCCTCGCGCATATTCATAAAAATCAATCGACAAGATAGTAAGAGGTCGGAAGACCGCGGTTTCACGTGGAGCATTTGGAGATTTTTAGAGATTATAGACTCTAGGAACAACATCTCAATGAACAACATCTCAACTATAAAGGCCTGTCTCATATAAGTTAGACGCCTATCTCAAGTACAAGCCGGTGCAGTTCGACGATTTGGGCAAATAAAAGCCCGGGCTATTATTTGAAGTTTTACGGTATTTAAGACCTGGAAAAGAAAAGAGACACTGACCTGTCAAAAGGCTCCCCAGTTTCTCGCTGACGATCGGTAATAGTTGATAAATTAAACTTTTCCCAAAGGGAGTAGGGCCACAACATCACCTCCATTCAAAATGTTTAATACACACTCTTCGTGTTCGGGCTTCAGTTTGCTAATGCGGGAATATTCTCCACAACAGAGCGAATTGCATCCGCGTCTCCATATCAGCGGTCGTTTTCGACTTCCCTGACCTAATCTTAAACACGGCGCTTACCGACTACGTCACGGCTTTCAGCCCGCCCTCTGTTCGTTGATTGGCCAGGCTGTTTTCAGGCCGGTGGAAAACAGAAAGATAGGCTGCTATCTCAGACTGACTACAGGAGCGAAATGAAATTAGCGGAAGTAGGAAGTCTGACGTAGTCAGGCTAAAGAGACTTACCTTTACAATCGCATCTGGCAGACTAGAAGTCATCGCTGAAAGTCCACTCTGAAGTGCCAAGGTTTTGGAGATGAGAACTTCTAGGGTTGGTAAGATGGTGCCATAATAGCAGTGATCTTCACCTTGTAAAATATCCAAGGCACTGGCGAGGGGCTTCAATATTGCGCAATATTCCTTCAGGAAATGATATTCCTTTTCTGTGATGCATTTTATTCCCATTTGATTGCAAAGGGTATTTAAATCTGTAAGTGCGATCTGAGATATTAGTGATAGTGCATCATGGAATGAATTCCATCTCGTTGCGGTGGGGACAACGAGTTTTCTTTTAATTACATCCTCAACCAGCTCCGCGGCCACTGTTGAGCGGCTGGCTTTAGTCCACAAACCTGAGCACTTGCCGATGACACTTCTGTATATAGTTTTGGATTCACTTTTGGTTGTTAGCCATTTTTCTACATCATTACGCGACACCAAATTAAGCGTGTGGGAAGCACAGCTCAGGTGAGGGGGAAGAGTAAATTGTCCATCTGACTCAGAGGAGAGAGCCTGTCCGACATCTGTGAATGTCACTTCATCATCATCCAATTCGTCTTCAGAATCAGATTCTGTATCTTCAGCTGGCTTATACATTCTGAAGGCTTTAAGGAAATTTGACCCATTGTCTGTTACGGTCGCTGTGATTTTAAATGACAGTCCAAATGCTGAATGCACCTGCTCTATTTCACTTGCAATCACATCATATGTATGCCTTTGATTCTTTTACAGGCTAAGGCAGCTTTTTCACGTCTGAAATTCACAGGATTAATCCAATGGGCGGTCATTCCAAGGAAGCTTTTATTATTACAAGTCCAAATGTCTGCGGTTGTGGAGACATACTCCAAACGCTCGAATGTTTTTTTAAGTTCATACTCCATATCCGCATAGCATTTATCTAGATACTTTGCAAATGTCTTTCGGTCCTGCAAGGGTACAGACCTGTCCGTCACGGGTATCATCGTGAGCAAGTCTCTAAATGACTGCGATTCCACAGTCGACAAGGGCAGCATTTCCTCCACCACATACGCTGCTACAGCTTTCTTCACCTGTCCAGAAGTTATCTTCCCTCTCGATCCTGAACAAAAATCCAATTTAGCTTGCTTAGACGAGGTTGCACCGCTCTCGTCTCGGGCGTGGTGGGTAACGTTATCCTCCTTGGCGACAAGTTTTGTCGTAGAATGTATTCTGTTCAAGTGCTTCAACAAATTGCTGGTTGAGTTAATTGCGGTTGAAAGTTCTTTAGAAATTACGCATAGTTTGCATTTAACAGTTATATTTTTGTTTTTACGCTCAATGCAATCAAAATAATGTTTATATTTCCACTTGAAGAAGCAACCACCACGCTCGTCTGCGTCCATTTTAGCAGCACGCGTTCTCTGGTAATTCATTAAAGCGCATGCTCATTAACTGACGCAGCCGCGCCAAACGTGATTAGAAGTGCATTTTACTTAATATTTTTACTTAACAATACATTTGTAACGTAAGTAACTTAATTTTATTGACATTAGTAACTGTAATCAAATTACATAAATTTTAAATGTAATGAGTTACATTACTGCGTTATCACGAAATGTAATTACACTACTGTAACGCGTTATACCCAACTCTGGTCACGAGTAAGCAGTGAAGTAGGCAACACTGGCTGTGTTTACATGCAATGTTTCAATCAGAATGAATTCTTGATTCAATTCCAATCGATGAATCTGAACGCAGTGTTTACATAAACGTCAACCTGAACACTTTATTTAGCGTTCATGTCACAAGCTTTAAATCTGTTAAGTTTCAGATCACCGCTGATTTGTCAAGTGTGCAGCTGTAATTGGGCGATCAGTGGGCGGTTCTTTAAAAACTCCTCTTCAACTCGTCAGAAGGAGCTGTCGTGACTCCAGGCCGGTAGCACTGGTCCACACTTCCTGCCAGCTGCCAGAACAATATGTTCTTAGTGTTTCTTTCGTTCGTTTGTTTCATTTAGAATGTGATAGTAATGTAGGAGAGACCTGCCCTTTTGTTTGAAACTCATTTATTCTGTTAGGTGAGGTTGATTGTATTGTTTTCTACCTTGTGATAGGTTATTTTTGTTGATATTCAATTTCCTTAGATTGGTTTTGTTATGTATTCTGGGCCTTGAGTCTTATGAGGGCATTGAATGCCACCTTATTTCTTTATTTTTGTTAAATGAAATTTACTGCTTTACTGTTATCTCATCTTGTTCCTCCTGAACCATCAATATGTAAAAGATTTTTAAAAAACACATTTTATTGTAAAATGTGCTGATGTTTTTACCTTTTGTATCCTTTTTTTTTTACCATAACTGTATTTTTTTTTTTTTTTTTTACATTCATTATTATTGTAATGTCCCACTAGTAAATGAGACATGAGGTAATCTGAAAGCATTGCACTCCCCTACACTAACTCTGTGGTGCATTATATCCCATATTCCCCATTGATTTAAAATATTCAAATATCAAATAAATTCGTTTCAAATATTTTTTTACAGAGAGTGTCCAGAGGACTTCAGAAGAGACGGAGGCAAACATTGCTGTGGCTGTTTGCTTGAAATATGCCCCAGGGTGGTCGCAGAATAAAAGATTCTACAATGTTTAACCCGGAAACGCTGCAAAGTGTGTTTACAACATAAACAGCATAGCAGATCTGACACAGATGAGAAGAAATTATTCAATTATGTCTATATTTATGTTTCTTTTTTGCGCTCACAAAATATTCTCGTCACTTCTTAACATTAAATTTGAACCACTGTAGTGTAATGGACTATTTAAACGATTTCTTTACTACCTTTCTGGGCCTTGAAAGTTGCAATTATGTTGTTGTCATTGGAGGGATCAGAAAGCTCTCAGATTTCATCAAAAATATCTTCATTTGTGTCTTACGGGTTTGAAACGACATGAGGATGAGTAATTAATGACTGAAATTTCATTTCTGGAGTGAACTATCCCTTTAAAATCTACAAACTGAGAACAAAATAACAGCAGAACTATTGCTAAAAATATTTACATTTTTGTTACATGGTCCACACTATATTTACTTAATATAGTGAAACCACTCTTCGTCTTTTGAATTTGACTCCATCTGACGGCAGCCCTGTTTCTATGTGATTTTCTTGATCACTTCAAGGTAAGTTAACTTCGCCACTTTCTTCTTTGGTGGCTTTTCCCCCTTTTTTGTTTTATTCTTAACATAAATAAATATTGTTCATGTATGTTGAGATACTTGTCCGTGTTAAATAAAACTGAGGGGGAAAACTTGATAATAATTGAAAAAAAAAAAAAACTATAAAAACAATTTAAAAAATAATAATATTCAGTTTTTGATAGTTCTTTAAAAAAAACAATCTCACATTAGATGTGGTTCATTGTTTTCACAACATGCATTTAAATGTGTATTTCAACAAGACTTCAACTCTGAACGCCGCTGGCATGTTGTATTACTTTTATGTGGATTTCTATGCACATTTATGATTTTAGCGTGTGACAGGGACTTTTATTTTGGAGTGGCGATATGACGTCACAAGGCTGCGCTGCGCTCCTGCAGCTGTTGTGATTCGGTTGGAGAAAGGTTTGTGTTCAAAGCACTTAAAGTGTTTTAATCGCTCAGGTAATTGTATAGTTTTATCAAAAACTTTAAAATGAATATTTCAACATTTAATGTAACATTTTAATTCTTTATAATACATTTATGAACGTGATTTTTCTGAGAGTCAAGCGCAACCATTCGTGAGAAAAGGTGCGTCTTATTTCTCTCCCTATATCGTGAATCCGTTTATCTTAAAAATGAATTCGGTCACTGGCAAGTAGTGATGAGAGAAACGGAGCTTTTTATAACTCAAAAGTCAACTGAATCAATTGCTAGTAAAAACGATTCACTGATTCGATTCGCTCGAATCAACGCGCACTGACGTCACCTTCTGGTAAAAAAAGTGAAGAAAAAAAAAAAAGAAAAAAAAAAACACAAACTTGTGTAATGCTGACTTTTACTTACCATTAACAACTGTCTTTCTGAAAGTGTTATATATTAAATATAATCCATTTAGTATTCTAAATCATAACAAAATTATGTTTGTGCTCTTTTAATAATTTGAAGTGTATGTTTTGAGGTATGCTGAACTAGAGCTGATTGAGAGGCACACAGAGATTTAGTGTGGATTTTATTGAACTTTCTTTTAATTATTCTCATCTTAAACAGAACAAACACATAGAAAAACTGGTGAAGCGACTGAGATCCACATCACTTACTATTATAAAGATGGCGTTTATTAAAGAGGAGAGTGAAGACTTGAAGATTGAAGAAACATTGAGGGTGAAACAAGAAGAAACTGAGGAACAAAAAGGTTGGTTTCATTCTCATGGTTGTACGCATAGCCTACATTTATTTTTAGGATTAATTGCGCCATCCTTATCATGTACACATGCACGTGTAATCGTGCCTTAAAATGGCTGAGGCAAAAAGTTTTCACAAGCAACATATTGAGGTGCTCTAATAAGATTTTTGACAAAATGACAATTATGAAGTTAAAGAATATTTTATATAAAAGCTACTGTTCAATTAAATTAAATACAAAATGATTAGCTAACATGTATAGTAAAATGCTACGCTATGCTAAACTGAAAACATTGGGATGTAACGTTAATTTAGGCTTAATAACACCTGAACCTCTTCGTTGGTCTATCGGTCGTATTTTTTAAACTCAAATGTTTATTTAAATATCAAACAACTCTTACTGTGCACGCACAGCAACATAATGTTAAAAATAGTGATTGAAATAAAATGCTGCGTGGAGTCAACCAATCAAAGTGCTGCGAAAACAACCAATCAGCATGTTCAGCGCCCAAGTCCCGCCCCTGAAAGTTTCTGAACTTTCTAAAGGTACTACCTCACCAGCAGGGACTTTTAGAGGGGGACGTTTTTACCTGCAACATCATTGAGACCCTGGGCCCTGCAGTCGAAACACACCGGGGAAAGTACCTATGGTTGTAATGCGGCGTAATATAATAACGATGATGATGATAAAACAATAAATGTAATAGATCAAATCAATACTTTATTTACTACAGCTGTTTTGTTACTAAATGGAGAACTAAGACTAAGGGGGCTTTCACACTGGCAGTTTGGAACGGGGCACGGTTCGCATGAAAAATCACTAATGTGAACGCTGTCATGCAGACCCGGGTGCGCACTGGGGTACCGAACCTGAGACTACCTGGAGGAGGCGGTCTGAGTTCGGTGTCACTCGAACTAAGCTGCGATTCGTGTGAATGATAAAGCAGCAGACTCGGGTGCGCACTTGTTCAGGAAGTAAAGTGACCTGCGCATGGGTTTAGGTGATTACGATGTATTTAGATAAAACACATGTACGGGATGATAGTGTTGATGATTTACCTTGGATAGGAGCGAGAGTGAGCCTGCAGTGTATTCATGTGTAGCGTGTGGAATTAGGACAACAAATTAAAGGAAATCCAGCCTCCTCTAAAGAGCCTGTTTGCAGGCAGCAGAAAGCCACCTTATGCATTGTGAAAGCAACCTTAAACTTATCAATAGCCAAGTGTAGTCGACATCCAAAACACTGAAGTTGTGTCTATTTGTTGAGTGAAGTGGCTTTTACCAGGTTTGTGCCACTATCAGTTGTGATAAATACTGGTCTGGTCCCCCCAGGAGGCGAGTGCTTCAATCGTTTGGGAATAACTTCACCTGTGTGGGCTTCTGGAAAGTAAGCCGTTTGGAGGCATTTGCTCTGAACTTTCCACCCTTGAATAGTGAGGATCGGATGTGAAGTAGAGGATTTGTAGATTTTGCAGCTGCCGCTTTACCTTCTCCCTACAGTCGGGATCACCGTCTGCGCAAAATGTTTTCGGTAGCTCGTATCTGGAGTCAAGGTCGGCTTCTTAACGCCAATGGAAAGCATGTCTTTTGCCATGCAATATGCAACTGGTTGTGATGTCTTCATGTCTTATTTTTCTTCTTCTTTTTTTGGCGTAAGGCACGCATGGGAAAATGGCGATATAATACTTTGCTGGTTAGTCGCATTAGAGCTTTTAGATTGTCCACATTCCCTAACACTCATTTGGGACTGTAATTTCGTAGCTTCTTCATGTTCTAAAGGATGACATTGTTTTAAATTATAAAACAGGTTTGTGGTGTTGCGTGTCTTTGATGGCAGGAGTCGTCCACAGAGTTTGCAGTGTGCGTTGCTCTGTTTTATGTCAGATCGCAAATAGCCAAAATATCTCCTCTGGAATTAAAGGCCCCCTGAAGTTTTTTAACTTTTTGTGTGAATATGTTAGCCTTAAGGTTACAAAGCAACGGTGTCCTTCGAGCTGGTTGTGGGCACTGCACTTTCTTCACTATCGGTAATTTCTTGCTCCACTCCTCTAAGCCTGTCGGCCACTGTAACTATAAACAATACCACATCCGGCACCCGGAAGCCCGGTCTGCTAAACACATGAGCAGTTTTACGCATAGAGTGTAAACATTAGCATTCATCGAACTGTTAACAATTTATCAAGAAATTATTTCGCTACATTTATCGTTATAATTTTATGGCCCAGCTAATTATATATTTTTTAAAAGTCTTAAAAAAACAACTTTTTAAAAATTCCCTGTAATGAAGTTAGATGTTATGGGAAGAAGGCGGGAACCGGAGAACATTTAAAGACTTTGATGACATAAAATAAATCAACAACAAAACGTTGCAAGTGGCAACGAACAACTTTTTGTTGTACTTTTACAACAAAAAGTAAAAGACAGCAGCCCTTCACGGACGACTGCTGACACATATAATAAAACAAAACACAACATAAACCCAGGCCTGTTCCTCTCTTGATCTTCACTGTCGCTGCGCGCCCTCTACTGGCATCATGTAATTTGACACTCAAATTAGTGACAGCATATTCTATATGGGTTACACATCCAAAGCAGTATCTAAATTGATGCAAATGCCGAGAACGTACGAGAGAAAAAAGATGGATTATGTAACAAGGTTAGATGTTACGGGAAGGAGGCGGGAACCGGCGAACATTCAAAAACTTTAATATCAAAAATGGAACAAATACAAAATGAAAGTAAAAGACAGCAGCCCCATCACGGACGACTGCTGTCACATATAACAAAACAAACACAACACAAGTTCAAGCCTGGCCTCTCTCGATCTCCACTGTCGTCGCTCCTCCTTTTACTTCCGCTCCTCCGTGAGAGATAAGAGACCGGTGCGTCACGCAGGTGTCGCTCTTCAAAATAAAATTCAAACAAACTAAAATCAAACGTTGCCAAAAAATATGTAAATGACCAATCATTTGGCATTTCAGTAATCATTTGGCATCATAATAAATTAATTGGTATTAACTTAAATTTCAATACTTTAAGTATTATTGATCGTTTTAAGACATAAAAGCCACATCATTGCATACTGTCGTTGGGCCAGTGGCGCTTGTAATACAAAACTTAACAAGCAGTCAGTGTAGAGATTGTAAAAGTAGCTAATGTCATCATATTTATTTCATCTAGTATGCACTCTAGCCACTACATTTTGAACCAACTAGAGCTTAATTATTAAACACAGGAAACGTTATAATCAAAGAGCCACTTGCTATCAACAAAACCTTGGTCACTCACAACCTTAACTGTAGAAAGTGAAATAACACTATATCCATTGAGATCTAGCATCTTATGTGCAAATGTTTTTAATCTGATAATTAATAGCCCTGTCTTGTCAGAATTGAATAGAATAAAATTACTAGTTATCCCGTCCTTGATATCATTAATACACTGTTAACTTGGAGAATTGTGCAGCTTCTTCAGGTTGTAGAGAAATATAAAACTGAGTATCACTGGCATGATATATTAAAATCTAATTATGTCTATCAGGGGAAACATTCATAGAGAAAAGTAGAGGGCCTAATACTGAGCCCTGGGGCACTCCATACATATAGGAAGCGGTTGGGTAGATGGTACATAATCCATGCTAATTCTTGTCCACTTATTAAGAGTATATTTTGTCTTTGTTGTCAAAAGATCTAATAGCATTTTAAGAGAGATGTAGCTTGCTGCGATCAGATACCATAAACATGTCATTTGTAACTTTAATAAGCACAGATTCTGTGCTGTGATCTGGCTTAAACGAAAACTGAAATTCTCCACAATTATCCATACTGTTTCTCTGCAAATCTGAACATAGGTGAGAGGCAGAGGTGTAAAGTCCAGGTTCTGAAAGTAAAGGTCCTCCTCAGTATTTTGTTCCAATCACCTGGATTTACTAATTAGCACAGTTTTTATTAGCACCTGATTAGTGAAATCATCTGGCTGAGTTCGTGGGTGGAATAAGGCCTCGCAGGCCTTTTACTTTCTGATCCCAGGACTTTACACCTCTGGTGACAGGACACTGTTTTTCTAATATTTAGCACATAAATGCACATAAATGGAGAAGCAGATAAATGGGATAAATGAGATTATCTAACTAATAATTTATCTTGGGTATTATTATTATTATTATTATTTTTGATAAGGGGTTTTAAAATTCCTAGTTAGAAAGTTTTTGGGGATGTGTCCTAAAGAAAGTGAAGAGCTGACAATATTGAGAAGTACATGCTGTTGGTTTTGATGCTTTGGTTTGATGTCTGTTGCTTATTGCCATTTAACCGAGGTTCATTTGTATTTGTCTTTTTTCAACTTAGACTTGATGGTGCTTAAAGAAGAGAGTCAAGAATTGAATGAAGAGGAAGAGGAAGATCAGGATGAGAGTCATAATGATTTCATAATTGGAGAAAAATCTTTTAGTTGCTCACAGACTGAAAAGACTTGCTCACAAAAAAGGGGTCAGAAGACAGCAACTAGAAGTTATTTCTCTTGCACTCAATGTGGAAAGGGTTTCAATCAACTTGGAAACCTGAAAGTCCACATGAGAATTCACACTGGTGAGAAGCCGTTCACCTGCCAACATTGTGGAAAAAGTTTCAATGAAAAAGGAAACCTCAATAAACACATGAGGATTCACACTGGAGAGAGCCCCTTCACCTGCCAACAGTGTGGGAAAAGTTTCACTCAAAACAACAGCCTTAAAGCCCACATGAGATCTCACAATGGAGAGAAGCCTTTCGCCTGCCAACAATGTGGAAAAAGTTTCACTCAAAAAGACAGTCTTAAAGTCCACATGAGAATTCACAATGGGGAGAACCTTTTCACCTGCCAACAGTGTGGAAAATGTTTCATTCGAAAAGCATGCCTTCAAAGCCACATGCGAATTCACACTGGAGAGAGGCCTTTCACCTGCCCTCAATGTGGAAAAAGTTTTAAACATAGAGCAACAATTAATTCCCACATGAAAATTCACACGGGAGAGAAGCCGTTCACATGTGATCAGTGTGGAAATACTTTCAGACATAAAGTAAACCTTAATACCCACATGAGGATTCACTCAAGAGAGGACTGTTTTACATGCCATCAGTGTGAAATGATTTTCACAGACAGTGATCACCTTAAGAATCACGTAATAACTCACATTGGAGAGAAGCCACACATGTGCATTAACTGTGGAAAGACTTGCTCAAACAAAACAAACCTTAATGTTCACATGAGAACTCACACTAGAGAGAAGCCTTTCACCTGCCCTCAGTGTGGAAAGAGTTTCACACTTAAAGAAAGCCTTAGGACTCACATAAGATCTCACACTGGAGAGAAGCCTTTCACGTGTCTTCAGTGTGAAAAGAGTTTCGCATATCGAGTGGACCTGAAACGTCATTTGCAAACTCATTCTGTAGAAAAATTGCAGGAAAAGGAGCAATTTCAAAAATCACCTATGCAGACCATTTAATTGTGGTCTAATAGAAAGATTCTTTTGCCATTAGAGATACACCTGAAAGGTCAGATTGTGTGGAAAGAGTTTTAATTCCCTGGAAATTTAAAGAGATTCACACAGAGACATATTTTTCTGGTGACAATCTATCCATCTATCTGTCTTCAGTGAAAATGAATCGTTGTGAGATACTGAATGTATCTGGATTTCTCCATTGATTACTCATAAAATGTGGTCTGATCTTAATTTAAGTCAATTACAAACGAACGCACATGACTACAGTAATAACACAAACAGTTGTACCTTACATATTTTGATTGAATACCTTGAGTAATGCTTAACAGTGCAGGGTGAAGAAAGTGAATTTATTAAAAGGGGTCATAAATTGAGAAATCAAAATTTCCTTGATCTTTTAACATGTAAGAGGTCATTGTACTGTATTAACATCCTGTAAGTTTCAGAACTTCAAAACTTCCTTGTTAGTACAAAAACAGATTTATTGAATCCAAGCTCAGAAAACGACTCGTTTGGAATTGTCACATGATGACGTAAAAGTGCTGCGAAAGACCTGAGGTGTTCTGACATGCCCTGACATTTCTGCTTATTTCTGTTACTTGTAACATGATTATGGTTAAAGTCTGATTACACTGTATTCAGCACAAACTCTGCTACAATAATATGGAAACAGCATGTATGTAAAAGTTTGTAGTTTTGAGAAAATTACGTGTATGCATGATTAGTGAAAGAAATATTTTGAAGTCACTGAAATAAGGCCAGAAAACACACTATAATAAGACTTTTGAAAACTGGATCTTACATCATACATGTTTTGCTTCAAAACTATGTGAAATTCATCCTACCCACTTATTCACATAAAACAAAATATTGATTTAAAATTTGTAAGACATGTTTTGTGTAGGAAAGCTGTATGTGTGGAGGGTGTGAATCATTATGAATATTGATGTTTCACACCTGGGACAACATGACATCATGACTTTGCGTAAACATACACGCCACTTTCAATTCAAGTGGCGTGTTATCTATACGCATTTTGAGCTATCCGCGTGTATGTCCACGCCGAAATCTTTTGCGTGTATGTCTACGCCATTAAATGTCCGAGTGATTCCGCGTGTATGCGTACGCCGTTAAATGTCCGAGCGAAACGAAGCAAAATCTATATCTACATCTGGGGAGCGATATTTCTTTTCCTAGGATGGTAGGAGAAGACTCATAAATGGTATTAACCCCAGTGACGGGTAGGTTTAGGGACGGGGTTGGGGTAGGTCATATATTTATATATACATAATACAGTAATATAACGTTAAGTCAAAGGCGTTGATAAACACGCTGAAAAGCGATTATGCGTGTTGATAGCACGCCAAAAATGGAAATACGAATTGGCGTGTCATACATACGCCATTTCATGAGATCAGTCTGCCTGGGAAGACAATAACCCCTCCCCCAATGGCCTTATCAGGTGGGACTGTGAGGGAACCAAATGAATGTGAGGAGAATAAAAGTGAGGAGAATAAAAGTATGACTTCTTCGATTTTTTTTGTATTTTATTTACAATACAACATACTCCAAATATACACAAATGACAAAAAGGCACATTATTGAGCACATTGATCTAAACAGAGAGATTTGAACAGTTACATACATTGGTGCAATTCCTGACAGTTCCTGTTCAACATACCTGTCATTTCCAAGGTGTTTGCTTTATCTTTTGCCATGCACTGAAAAAAAAAACTTCCCTGCCATCAGTAGTCAGTGTTTAAGCTTCTACATGAACATGATAAAATAAGCTTTATGATGTGGGTACAGCGCTCTCAAAGAAAAACAGTTTGAAGTTTGAGTCGGAAGCATTAAGCCGGTTTCTTAAATACAATATTTAATAACATAACAATATAGTAATTAAGATAATATTACTTTACAGGAAACCTTTATTTTATAGGGAAAATGCAACCTATAAATCATTAGAAAGTAACACTCCAGTGCACTACACTAGAGAAAAACATGGAATATTATGTTTACTTTAAATTTCATATTTTTACAAAAAATAAGGAGGTTGGAGCATTATTGAGTGCTATGTTCATACTAGAAGCCGGAGGGCGCCCTTGCACAGAAAGTCAGAATATGCCTCACAGAAGTAAAATAACTTATGACACTCCAGGAAATCCCAAATGCAACTATAGTTTTTTTTAAAAATAAATCTTAACGATACACACAGTACTATAGCTGTTGCTGAATAAAAAGATAGAATCGCTTTGACTTATTAAATCTGAAGACAATCTGTGTTTCTGAAGTCATTTCGGATATTTTCATAAGAATAAAGTATATTTATGATTTTAAATTTAATTAGTTAATTGTTGATAATAGACTGCGACTTATAATGTCAAGAGTATCTAGTAAAAAGTGAGGATGGACAACGTCCAATGAACGTCCAACGTCTTCATTTTTTGGAGAGTTTGTAACTGGGGTAAATTCAAATAATGATAAAACTGGTGTGGGCTTTCACAAGCTGTAGGTTAGAGAATCAGGATAGAGATTAGGCATTGGATTAAAAACACAGTTTATGGTATTAAATAATATGTTTTGGACTATGTGCATTTTTTTTTTTGCTAATATATCTGAAAAGTATTTTGGCTTTGCAGTCTTAACAGCTTTTTGATAATCAGAGATTTGTAATTTGCCCTCTTCCATTTTCTTTCCACTTTCCTTCATTTCCGTTTAGTAGCCCGAGTTTATAAACAAGCATGCAAAGAACTGGGTTACTACCATCCATCTTAAATACTTGACTACTTCAAAACTAGAAAACGGCTCTGTAGCAAGTGGACGATATTTGAATTTATTTCTATAAATAATAGCTAAACCCCCACCTCCCAATTCTTCGGGAAAAGCTGCATTTTGGTTTGAAGACCACAACCAACAATGAGCCTGAAGCCTTCAACAGTGGATGCTATTCTTTTTCTTCACAACACTCGCAAATAAACAGTGAATGATAACCAACATACATGTAGCCTAATGTTATTCAGTTCAACGGATTTTTATATTATTAATATTTTTATTTTTTAACGTTAGCCAATTGGCGAAGAGTTCTTTTAAACATTGTTTTTCAGTAAAGTTACTTAACATCAAAAAAAGGTAGGCCGTAAATCTTTATTTACTTATTTGCTGCGGGATCACATAGCTTATATAATATTCTCCACTGCATGCTTATGCTTCTCTGTAATGGCCAGTCTGTATTAATATTTGTGGGCATGATTGTCGGTGGTGGTAGTTATGTTTGAGGCCTATAACAAAAGTTTACCTCTTAATAGCGTGTGTGAGAGCTCGCGTCAGAGAGAGCTTATTGAGTGATATTGATGTTGGTCTCAAGTCGGGTTCGGGCTGAAAAATTGCATTCGTTGTCGGGCTGGCGCCGGGTTCGGGATTGAACACCACGGGCCAGGGCCGGGTTAGGGGTGGAGTTTTTGCCCCGTGCAGGGCTCTAGTCGATAGTGTTTCATCGACCATCTGATGGCCTGGCAGCAGAATACAGCGTTTCAGTCGTTTTTGCGGATCCGTGTGAATGGGGATCTTTTGATAATGGTGTTGTCTGTACACAGAAAACTCAAAGGAAAACCTTCTCAGTTTTAAGCAAATCGTTGTCGTGTAAACGTACCCTCAGTCATAAACAAAAGGTCCAACCCATGAGATAAAATTAGTTCATTAATAATATAAATTTCTTATTTGAGATCGATCTTACATTTAATACCACCATCTTCACTTCAGTGAACAGAGGTTCGTAGATTGAGAAGAAAAGAACAAAAGCACAAAGTTTTGTTGCTATTGTGAGTGTACACAAATAAAAGTATTTTAAGTTATTTTCGCTGTTATCAGGATAAAATGCAAGTGATTGCGCCGGCAACTCCACCGACCCCAGCGGGTTAAGATCATCTTGACTGATGGCATCTCTCACTGGTAGATTCTCAGAGGTGGATTCCCTGCATCCATTTATGACCTTATAGTTGAAGTAAAAAAACAATGTCGACTTGGGGTCCATTTTAGACATTAATATATTAATTTCATGTTTAGAAATGAGATCCTTGAGCTTACCTCAGTTTCAGAAGTAGATGATAAAGGGACTCTTAAATCATTGATATGACCAGAGCACCACTTTGCTGCAAGATGAAGAGTGATCTAATGTTTGCAATCCAGTCATAAAACCCCAAGCATTCAGTCCTTCCTCTGTAAGTGACTCTTCTGTCCTGTCAAGTGAAACAGTGGATACACCTAGACTGTCATCAAGTGAGTCTACAAGCTCACAGTCTGCTTGGCCTGCTGTTTTTACAGTTGTCTAAAATGCAAAATATTTATATACTTAATATTGTCAACACATCATTGGACAACCTTATGTATTTCACAAATAAATAAATTCTGAATTTTTCTGACATCATTTTAATTATTTGTTTATTGTATGTTAATTTTTATCCACTTTTGTGATTTTAGACAGCAGCACCTGAACGGGACTTTTATTTTGGCGATGTGACGTCATAAGTATGCGCCACTCTCATGTATCTGTTGGGATTTGAAGAAAGGTTTGTGTTCTTAAACATTTAGTTTTTAAATCAATGCAACCCGGTCAGGCAATCATTTTATTTTTAAGTAATATGGCTCAATAGTTGTTGAATGTAACAATGTAATGCTTTATTTACCATTAATGAACGTTATTATTTATGAGTAAAGCGAACGTACACATGAGTAACAGAAAATGTGCGGCTCATTTAGCTCTCTATGTCAGTTTATGGTAAACACGAATTCTCTCAATGAAAAGTTGTGATGGAGAAACTGAGATTTTTGAAACTCCGAGTCAATTGAACCAAATACTGTAAAAAATGATTCATTGATTCAAAGCGCTCGAACTACCGTCGTCTGACGTCACATGCTGGTCAAAACAGTGTAAATGCAACGAGAAACAAAGCATGTGTAATGATAACTGTGATTATTAAGTAATATATTAAATGTATTTATTTAAATACCAAATATAAATAATATTAAGTGCCTGTGTAATATGTATTATTTTATTGCATTTTAGTGCTAGTAAGTTTTTGGTCTAATCAGGTGATTTAAGTCCATTAACTCTCACTCTGACTGACTCTTACCAGTGAACTGACTACTGAACTAGAGCTGATTGAGACACACTTAGAGATTTAGTGTGGATTTATTTTTCTTTCTGTTAATTATTCTCATCTTAAACAGGACAAACACACAGAAAAGCTCCTGGTGAAGCAACTGAGATCCACATGACACTATAATAAAGATGGCGTTTATTAAAGAAGAGAGTGAAGACATTAGGATTGAAGAAGTATTCAGTGTGAAACAAGAAGAAAATGAGGAACAAACAGGTTGGTTTTCTTTTGAACATGTTTGAATAAAGTAAATGTTAGTGATCAACTTTTCAGTTGTTGTCAATAAGGGATTTTTTTCTTCTCATCTGTATCAAACCAGTCTTGGAGCACTCGCTCTATCAAACATCAAATACAGAGGGTCATAAACAGTTTTCAAACAAAACATTATCATACCTGAACATAAGTAGTGTGAATATCTGTAAATATTCATTGAATCAAGCAATAAATTAGTCATACGTCAAAAACATTAGCACACAACAAGAAATAAATAAAACATTTCTCCCGCTGACACAGCTTGGTAAAGTGACAATAACTTTACAACAAACTTGAACATAATAGTTTTAAATCAATCTGTTTGAATATTTCAAAGCAACACAAACAGTTCCGATCAAATACACTAATTGTGCACTAAATAAACTTCTGTTGTGACTTTCACATCTTCCATTAAACTCAGTTGTACATGTAGCATCTTAAAGCAGTCCCTCCAGGATTTCACGATTTTTTAATGTGATTTTTGCGATCAAATGACTGATTTTGTGGTGGTAATTTCCAGAAATTTGTGAAAAAATTTGCGATTTTTATATTTTATAATTAGGATATCACATTTACCATAATAGTATTATGTCAGATGCACAATAGTCATACATGACACAAATCACAAACAAAATGCATAAAGCTTGTTTATTTGGTCTAATCAAATTTTTTTTTTTTTATTGTGCTGTAGCCTATTGTTGTTGCTTGATTAACATTAACAACAGCAGGTAAATTAGGTTACTGTCACTTTAAGACCTACTACAGTAATGACAAACGTCCCAATCAGTTATTACTGATTGTTTTACGTAAATACTTGCCAAGATTAATATTTTGAAGTAATTGTAGCTATGTGTATTTGTTAAAGAGCTATAAAGAGAATTCAATATTCTAACTAAGCCGACAGGCGGTGACACGCAGTCAGTCAGTCACACACACACACTTGCAGTCAGAGACAGACTGTCACTCGACTGGCTGAAATTAGTTCTCTTTCACGGTATACTGCGCTTTTAAGAATTCTTTTTAGTACCATCGAGCATATCATACTTTTTGTCATGTCATTCAATCATGTTAAACGCGTTAATACTGCCCAATGAAAACCTGGGCGGTTATGTGAGAGGGCAGGAGAGAGACGCATTTTCTTTCGCCATGTTTCTGACAGACCGCTCACAGACATCACGCGTGCGCAACATCTATTCTGTACCCACGTAAAAATGCATTGAAACTTTAATTAACTAGAGATATTTCAATTGGGTGAATATAATTAAATGTTTTGTGAGGACTTTTTTTTTAATTTTTGTGATTTATTTTGCGGTCAAATTAGGAATTATGCAGGATCGCAAAAAAATGCGACATTTTGTTGATTTTGCGTTGTATTCAGCGATCGCAGAATCGCGAAAAACTGGAGGGACTGTTAAAGGGAACCTATTATGCCCCATTTTAAGATGTAAAATAGGTCTCAGGTGTTCCCAGAATGTGTCTGTGAAGTTTCAGCTCAAAATACCTCATAGATCATTTTTAAGTTAGTAGAGGGAAGTTCGGATCATTTTACTGACTCGGATCTTTGAGTCTCGTTCAGCAAAATGAATTAATCTTTTTTCGAGTTATTTAGTTCATTTCAGCATAATATAATTAAAATGGCATGTTAAATATCCCAACACATCTACGAAAATGTTGATTACATTTGTAAAAAGAATAAAAAATAAACTATAGGGTAATGCAGCCATAGCCAAATTATAAGAAACCGAAATGTTTGATTAATTGATTAGTTGTTGGGTCTTAAGTTCAGGCTATTGCAGTCTGATTCTGTTAGTTCACCTCACCTCCTCATCCGAGACGTTCTTTCCTTTGCAACTTCATATTTATCATGTTTGTTCTCCTCCGCTCGTGTCTCGAGACGTTAGTTGTCGACTCGTCAGTGTCTGACTCTGATCTGTCTGCTGGGCTGGGCCGTGCCGTGTGTGATACAGCAGGGCCGGAAACAGAAATGATTAGTTCATCTTTCGAGTCTCGAGTTCGGGTTCGGCCGGGTCCGAGTCTTTCGCTCTTCCTGTCAGTCCCAAATGCTGTGCTGTCAGTACCGGAAAGAGAAATGATTAGTTAATTTTCTTCGAGTCTTCGGGTTTGAGTCCTTCGTTCTCGAGACTCGAAAGATGAACTAATCATTTCTCTTTCCGGTACTGACAGCATAGCCTCTATGGAACTGACAGGAAGAACGAAAGTCTCGGACCCGGCCGAACCCGAAGACTCGAGAGAGATGAACTAATCATTTCTGTTTCCAGTACAGATACAGAACCCATATGTTGCGCAATGCGCATGCGTGGTCAACACAAAATGAACGAATCACTCTCTGAGACAACTCGGTAGTCCCGAGTCATGAACGACACATCACTATTTTAAGTGGAAGAAATATTCACATAATATTTTTATTAGTCCAGTATGTCTTATCTGCCTACTACTGCTAGCTAGAACAAGTTTGTAAGAACTACTAGCTTACAAAATGAAGTGCTTTTATCAGTCAGATGGTGACAGCCGATATTTAGTAAGTCATAAGTCAACTTAATGAATTAAACCTTCTGCATTTTGCCATGTCAATAATGAAAGTTTTACAGCCTAATTTAACTAACAATAGCTATTTAGCATGTTTAATGTTCCCTTTAAAAAGTTTAGGAGTCAGGCAGGAAAACAATTCACCCACTTTTGTGGATTGCCATATTCAAAATACTACTAACTTTAAGAGATGTACAGCTTTTTTTCAGGTTGTAAGGAAATATCAAACTGAGTATCATTGCCATATAAAAACTAATGAAAAAGTGTATATACGGAGAAAAGCAGAGGACCCAATACTGAGCCTTGTGGCACTCCACACATCTTCATTCAGGCAAATGTGGTAGCAGTCAGGCAGATAAGACCTAAACCATGCTAATGCTTCTCCACTAATGCCAACATAATTCTCAAGCTATGCAAGATTATATTTTGGTTTATCCTGACTGAAGAACAGTTTCTCTTTAAAACTGGACATAGTTGAGAGGACACTATTTTTTGAATATTTTAGACATGAATGGCAGATTGGCCCATACTAAACCAATTCTCTTGGGTCAAGTGATAAGGGGTTTCATAACTGCCAGCTTTCTTTGACTGTCTTGCTTTTTTGGTTGTGTCCTAAAGAAAGCGAACAGTTAACAAAATTGAGAAGAGATTCTGAGATAAGGTGACTCCACTTTCGGTAGCTTATTAGGTATAGGATGTATAGATGTTGTTGGCTTATATGCAGTATTTTGATGTCTGTTTTGTGCTATTAAATTGGTGTTAATTTGGGGTTTTTTTTTGTTTGTTTGTTTGTTTTTTGCTTTAGACCTGATGGCACTGAAAGAAGAAAGTCAAGAAGAGAAAGATAGGTGTGTTGAACATCGTGTCATGACTGAAGAAAAATCCACAGAGACTGAAAAGACTTTGTCACAAAATAGAAAAGCTCAGAAAAACATATCTAACAATTATTTAATCTGCCATCAGTGTGGAAAGAGTTTTACTCAAAGAAAAAACCTTACTGTCCACATGAGAACTCACAGCGGAGAGAAGCCTTTCACCTGCCAACAGTGTGGACAGAGTTTTGCGCGCAAAGAAAACCTTAAAGCCCACATGAGAATTCACACTGGAGAGAAACCTTACACCTGTAAACAGTGTGGACAGAGTTTTGCACATAAAGGAAACCTTAATTCCCACATGAGGCTTCACACTGGAGAGAAGCCTTACACCTGCAAACTGTGTGGGAAGAGCTACTCACAAAAAGAATATCTTAAGAATCACATGAGAATTCACACTGGAGAGAAGCCTTTCACATGCTCTCAGTGTGGAAAGAGTTTCAGATGTAAAGTAAACCTTAATCAGCACATGAAGATTCACTTGAGAGTAAACAGTTTTACATGCCATCAGTGTGGAAGGAATTTTACCGACAGCAATTGCCTTAAGAATCATGTAATAACTCACACTAGAGAGAAGCCACACATGTGCGATCACTGTGGAAAGATTTTCAAAACCAAATCAATCCTTGTGGTTCACATAAGAACTCACACTCGAGAGAAGCCTTTCACTTGTCCTCACTGTGGAAAAAGTTTCATACATAAAGGAAACCTTAACATTCACGTGAGACTTCACACTGGAGAGAAGCCTTACACGTGTCTTCAGTGTGAGAAGAGTTTCACATATCAAAGAGACCTGAAACAGCATTTGCAAACTCATTCTTGAAATCAACTATAGTGTTCTGTATGTGGTAAGAGGTTTACTAAATACAGCGGTTTCAGAAATCACTTGCATATTCACTCTGGATGATGACATTTGATTTTGTAATTTTGTAAAAAGTGTAATTAAGTTCATCAAACTTACAGATTTGGTCATTTCACTTGCATGAAAAGTCATGCAGATGTGAGACCCTTTAATTTACTACATTTTTTATGCTGATAGAATCCCATAACAAGAAAAGTTGCTAATTTCTTAGCTTATTTCTTTTAGGTACTACTATAAAAACAAAAATGCGTATATATATATATTTACTACCATTTCTTCCTGGTGGGTTGAAGGGTTACCTTCACCTAAAACATATGAATTTAGCCATTATTTACTTTCTTTATATTCTTTACATTATTTACAATTTTACTTGCTTTCATGTGATCACATCCCTCAATTACTATTTTTTTTTTAAACCACAAAATGTGATTTTTGTAAAAAAAAATATAAAAAAAATCTGCAGGTTTCGGTTCATACAATATCGATCAATGGAGCCCAACTTTCAGAAGCTTCCTGGCATTATTTATTGCTTTTCAAGCTTCTGAAAGTCCATTGACTAATATTGTATTAAACCATCAGACCAAACTTGACCAAAATCACCTTTTCTGTTCAGAGGAGAGAGAAAAATAACACACACAGAGGAATCAAACAACATGAAAGTAAATACTGATTATATTTATGTCTTTGGGTGCACTAACCCTTCAGTCACTATTTCACTGGATTTAGGTAATGCAAAACTTAAGATAATTTGTGTGAAGAGTCCAACTTAGGTCATGGAGGGCCATTGTCCTGCAGAGTTTTTCCTACCCTAATTATACACACCTGAATCTATTTAAACCAATTAATATCTGACTACTAGAAAATTACAGACAGGTGTGTTGGAACTGAACCCTGCATGACCTGCCTTGAATATCCCTGCATGAGCTCTGTATGCATTTATAAGTCACATAATACACTACAATAAAATGATTGTTTTCTTATTGTTATAATGTATGGTTGATGCCTAGAAATGGTTTGTTTTATAAACAAAGTATTGTGCAAAAGTCTTAGGCCACCATTTGATGTTGTTGTAGTAAAGGTATCATTTTTATTCGTACTGACACTTTATTCTCACTGATGTTTGCCTAAAGAAGCCATTTTGTACAGATTTGTTTTTATTTTAAGTTCATATCTCCTTTATTTTCTGTTTTTATCCTAATAATGATAGAAAAATATGGATGGTCATTAAAGCATAGCTAAAACAAAGTTGTTGGTGGCCTACTATTTTTGCACAGCACTCTGCGTGTGTGTGTGTGTGTATATATTATATATACACACACACATCTAAATTGATTTATATATATATATCTCAGAAAACACTTTTTACTTTAATTTATTTTTTGGCAAGAATCTCAAGAACTGAAAGAAATCTCTCGTCTCTTTCCTTTGTCTCCCGCTCTCTCTTTTTCACTTGCCTCCGGCGCCTTTGCTCTTCACTTTCCCTTGCTTCTCTTGCTTGCCTCTCCTCCCTCGCTTGTCTCTCTCGTTCTCTTCTGTCCTCCTTCTCCTCCATTTCTCTCCACAGTCTCTCCTCCCTCTCAGCTGCTTTCCGCTCTCTCTCCTCTTCTCTCTCCTCCATCTCCCGGATCAGGTCCTCTATATCTGAAGGCCTTTTCCGGGCTCTCGCTGGCTCTGGCCTCACTGAGGATGAAGAGGCCACAGCAACATCCGGCCCACATGTGGCAACGAGGGCAGGAGGAGTGAGGGAGGGTCTGCCCCCAATGCCTCATCCATGGCGGAATACCATTTCCAGGACGCTGCTGTGGGCTCTCCATTCTCAGTGCTCACCCCCGTCTGCGGACATTTCAGATCCTGCAAAAAGCACAAATACACAAGCATAATACAAAAGCAATAATTGTAATATCACAATGTAATTTGATTTTATCAAAATTATCTTACTTTATATTTTTGTTTTAGGTTTTCCCATTATTTTTTTTAGAAATCCTGCCGTTACCCTGCCTTGCAGGTCCTGCTCCACCACAAAAGCTCTGCAGTAAATTCACAGAAATCAAGAATCAAAAAGTGTTTTGAAAGTACAAGAATTAAATAAACTACATTAACATTCAAATTATTTTTATTCATTCCCGTAGTATACTCACTCAAAGCCTTTGATGGCAGCATTCCGCTTTCCAGTGAAGAGGGCTTCATGAGCCACTCTCCACTGGATGAGCAGACGAGTGTGCTCATCTGTCCCTGTAACATCCAGACAAGATTCACATTACCTCTGTCGTTTGTGCTCAATACTACCTTACATGTTGATGTATTTTCTGAAGTGTTAAGTATTGACACTTTACTTAACTTTATTTACTTTATTAACACATATTAAGCTTTTTATCCAACTCAAATGTTCCTAAATTTTTTTCAAAAGTTCTAATGGACAAATAAAATATAGTATTTATATTTAGTTACTTTATGTACATTTATTTACATTACTTACATTCATGTATTGCAAACTACACAATAGCACACATACACATACTCAGATATACTTCATTTCTATTTGATGTACTCATCTGCAATTCTTATCAAAGATTTTTGATACGATTTCTGATAACTGTTAATTCTAAAGACTGCTCACTTCATCAACATCATTATCCGTCAACATCTTTTATGGGGCATTTCACATTCATCCACTCCCACCAGGACTTTTCTTCTGTGATATTTTGTTTGTTTGGGTGTATGATGAAGTGTTTTGTGTAAAATTCAATAGATTTGAATTAAGAAGATTTTCATTTAGTTGTCTTTTGTTGATTCATGCATACCCTGAACACAGTATCTGATGCAAGACTGATTTCCCCCTCATTCTACTGTAGCAGGCCTGGTTTGAAATAGCCGGGACAGTTATAGAGTGGCGCCCGAACCGGGACTGTTTGCATATCAAGTGTTCAGGGTCTATGCTTTTCTGTTTGTTTATCATTTGTTTTCTGTTATGTTTCAGTAATGTCAGTTACATCGCAAAATGCAGAGGATGAGTACGAACCCAATCCTGATTTCACTGCTGGTCCCTTTGTCACCAGAAGAGACCCACGACCTGTTCAAGAACTCATTCATACTTTCAGTGACTTGTATCTTAACTCTGATGAAGATATTGATTCCAACATTCATCTTGATGAACTTCCTCCACCACCTCCTCCTGGTGAGGTAGTTCCTGAAATTCACCTATCAACACAAATTATGGATTCATTGACCAACCGTATAACAGATTTGGAAGATGAAGTACAAGCCTGCACCCAAAAAGTGAGTCAATGTTGTTCACATTCTGAGTTTAAGGACCCATGTTGGAGGAAAAGCTGCACTACAGGATTGAAAGGGAATGTGAAAGAGTCAAAAAAAGTACTTGAGCTGAGTATAGCTGATTTGGGAAAGTCTATGGTGGATTGTTTGAAGAGGAGAGATGTGCAAATCGACACTAAGCTTAAGTCATATGCTCATGTCATGTCTACTCCAGTTTCTCTTCCTCTGCTCACCCCAGCCTTGCCAAGAGACTCTCATAGATCACGTACTGAGCAGTTTCATCACCGTACTCACAACCTACCTGATAACACGTCAACTGCTCCATATCTACTTCCGGTAAAGGTTGAATTCCCACAATTTGGTGCAGACGAAGACAATGATCCGATTTCCTTTGTTGAATGTTGTGCAGAATATTTTGCATTCAGGCCACTCACTGACTCAGAAATACTAGCTTCGCTCACTTCAGTGTTAAAGGCAGGGTTCCCGCGGATCCTTAAAAAGTCTTAAAAAGTCTTAAATTAGATTTTTAAAATTTAAGGCCATAAAAAGTCTTATAAAGTCTTATTTTTACTTATGAAAGGTCTTAAATTTTAGATGACACTTTGACTTAGACATATCTAAAAGCTTTCCAAATTAAAACCATCTAATTAGCGTACGAATTTTTATTTATTTATTATTCTATCTTTGTGGATTTGCTAGTTCACGTGACATTTCGCGTCACTCGCGAGTCGCGGCAGCATAACTGTCTCCTGCACGCGAGAGGAGAGAACAGAGAAGGAGAAGAAAGGTCGTAAATGTCAGTTCAGTTGTAAGTTCATTCTTTATGTGCGTATGGTGTGCGATGTGTATTGTCTTTTATGATATTGTAATCATTGTTTTAACAATGTACGAGGCACTGCGAGCTGACATCGCATTTGTCTCTCGTGCTTTCACTGCGTGATGTGTGCAGTGTAACTGTTATGTCCCCAAGTTAGTTTTTGTCTTATATTTATATCATATTATGTTCTTATATTAGAATATCATATCAGAAAGAGTGCCGTTTTCCCGTGCACAATTCCAATTGTGATATTTATGTTATACAACAGTTAAATTAACAATAAGTTAACATTGAGTTACTTTTTAGACACAATATTGTCAATATTGTTTGTTTTCCCTTTATTTCGCCGACTATAATTTCAAAATGAAACCGTAGCAGAGTCTCAATGCAACCGACAGCGATGATTTCTTGACTGAAATCCGCGTTTTGAACGAATCACTTGCTTCTTTCCCGAATGAATCAGCCGTTTGAACGAATCGGTTGAATGAATGACTCCCTCAACTCACTTATTAAGACAGTGATTTGCCGCTGCGGTTTCATATTTAAAGTACCCTTTAAATAAAATGTTAAAATTAGAAATCATTTCATATTTAAATATTGAATATTGATTTAAAAATATATATCTCAAAGCTTTATTTATGCAGTTGTAAATGGAGTGTAAATATATTAATGCCACTTCTGATGCCGCTTCTGTCACCTCTGCACTGCAAAGATGGATTTTGATTGAATGATTTAATTTGACTGTAACAGTGGTACTGTATGATTATTATATAATTAAGTATTATTGTATAATTACTGTATAATTTAATTTGAATGATAGTATTTGACATTAAAGCATAACTCTAAATAAGTTTAGAAAAAATGTCCATATATAGGTGAAAATGCCCCTGAAAAAATCAATTTAAGGTGGCAAATATTGCCCCTTAATTAAAATATTAATTTCTGTCACTGCTGTGAACTGACCACTGCATAGAATATGAAAAATATGAATATCTTCGTGAGTCAGCTGTCAACAACAGACCTAAACCAGCCATGGCACCAGCACAAAAACACAATCAGTAAAATATCATCTAATTATTATCAACAAAACGTTGA